ACAAAGGACAGCTTGAACTGGTTCCACCTTTGCCACTGTCTGAGTTCCAATATTCATTTTTTTCAACCTTCTCTCTACTTCTGCAGCGATTTGATCTTCCATTTTCACAACCTGCTCCGTCAGCTTCAAATCTATCTTGCCATCCGGTTGGTTCACAGTACGGTCATACAACTCAAGATGCTCGTTGGCAGCGATAGCCTCTATAATTCTTCTGATACCAGTAGCTGTTGAGAAATTTGTAGATCCACCGGCAGCAGTATCTATAAGCTATTTTGTCTTTAAACATAAGCCATTTACGAAGTTTTGCATCTGCTCAGTTGCGTCCATGTTGTGAGTAGGACAGGCAGTTAGACATCTCTTGAACCTCTTGTATGCATCCCCAAGTGATTGCCCTTCTTTTTGTTTGAAATTGACAATATCGTATCTTTTTCGGATGAACACTGAAGCAGGGAAATACTCGTTGAGGAATGCTGTTTCCATCTCTTGCCATGTTGTGATGCTCCCAGTTGGAAGTGAGTAGAACCACTCTTCCGCATCATCAGTAAGTGTAAAAGGAAACATAACAAGTCTCTTTGCCTCCTCGGAATGACCCTCGATTTTCAACGACGTGGTGGTAGTAAGAAATCTCTGAAGATGCTTATTTGCATCCTCGTTGATTCTTCCGGCGAAAGGTTTGCTTTCCAACTGGCGGATGGTATACGGATGTAGCTGAAAGTGTGCTACATTCACCGGTTGATAGACAATGGTCATCCGGTTTGGTTGAGCGTTTGCCCCTCCGTAGTCCCCTAGCAATCTCTCTGCTGGGGGTTGACCTCCTGCTACGCCACCATGATTCGGATCCATCTCTCTGTCAAAATCTGAGTCGCTGTGCTCAGATTGCACAGACACTTCGTCTTCCGTTTCTTGATTTATAGTACTGGGTTCTGCACTTGGTGCTGTCAGTCTTTCAACTCTTAATTGACGGCGTCTCTCGTGCAATGCTCTTTCTGGTTCTGTGTCAAAGGAAAATTTAGCTGAGGTCTGACCTCGCATAAAAAGTCAGACAAAAGTTAGAACAGATAGCACAAATTCGATAAAATAAAATAAAATAGCAGAAGAATAAAATTTTAGTCGCGGAGCAACAAAATTTCAATTGAAATAGTTCAACTAAACTTAATTATTTGGCAATCCCCGGCAACGGCGCCAAAAACTTGATCGGTAAAATAGCAAGTGTACTATTTTATCGATGTAGTAATAATGGGAAAAACCCCAAAGTCGATCTCTTGAGGACTGCACAGTGAAATTAAGTTTGTTCGAATGAATATCAATTGAACAAAAGCAATAGTTGATTGTTTGTTTTGAACTACAATACTACAAAAACTAAATTTACGAGAAGTTTATATGTTACGATGAGAATAATGCCAGGACGGTGTATGAATCGCGATACAATGACCAACTTGTTTCGTTATTATAAAAATCTATGTTTCACCTTTTCTTTCCCTATGCCTAAAGTTATTTTTCCGCAATTCCTTTTAAGAAAAACCTTTGGTATTCTCTCTTTGCCCTAATTCCTCAGCTGCCAAGAGAGAATATCAAGCTCTATTTCAGACAATAAAATGGGTATTCACAGGGTATTCTAATTCCTTAAGAATATCTACTATGATAAAAGTGATGCAACAGGATTAGGATTGCTGATCAGGCCAACCCTAATTACGATCAATAATCATTTCTTCCAAGCAGATTAAGCATTAAAAACGTTGCATACAATAAAGAATAAGGTTTTAACATAAAACTCACAATACAAAACATCAATTAGTCATTACAAAGCAATTCAGGGACACCTCCCTGACATTGGGATGTTTAGCTACTCATGTTCATAATACTTATGAAAACAGGATCAAGAAGAAAATTCATTACAATAGGATTTGGATAGGTTGGATCGTCGATTGCTTCCGCTCTTGATCGATCCTCCTTCTCCTTGAATCACCACTCTAAGCTTTTCTCCAATATGTTCTTTCTCCCAAAAAGCATTCTCTTTGGTTCCTCACCCTAGTCTCCAATATAACAGTATTCTCAAATATCCCAAGAAATGTCCAAACTGCCCTCCAACTTGTCTCAGTCTGCGTGTCAAAAAAAATATAGAAATTTTGCCTCAGGATGCCTGACACGGGCCGTGTTGTGGGACACGGGTGACCGTTTCAGGTCGCTGCTTCACATAAATGTAATCCACGCCTTTAGAGGGCACAACACGGTCCGTGTTGTACAACACGGGTGGCCGTGTTGTGTTGCTGGTTGTTGTATCTTTGTCAGCTGGAGATGCCACGACACGGGCCGTGTTACACGACACGGGCACCCGTGTCACGCTTCTGAAATCTTCGCTTCCGTGCATTTCTTCTGTATTTGGATCATTTTCGCATTGGTGTCGGGTAGCCAACTAGACAGAAACCTGAAACACCTTGAAACAACAACCCATTACACGCACCAACGGTAAAAATGATGAAAACATGGACACCTGACTTGCTTATCCAAATCAGAGAATACTGTTGAAACATAATTAAAATATTAAAAGAAAACTCATGAAAACACAAGAAACGACACTAAAACCTGTTTGGAAAGTACGACAAAAGATCACTGATCAACAATCGATGTGGAGTGGGTATACAAGATGAAGTTGAATCCCAGAGGAAAAGTAACTCGACACAAGGTAAGACTTATGGCGAAATGATTTCTTCAAAAGGAAGGAATCAACTTTGATGAAGTCTTTGCACCCATGGCTAGAATTGAAACAATCAGGTTGGTTGTTGGTCTAGCAGAAATAAACATTTCGCACATATGTCAGATGGACGTGAAGTGTGCATTCCTGAATGGACCCTTATACGAAGAAGTTTATGTTGCACAATCAGTTGAGTTTGTGAAGCATAGCAAAGAGAGAAAGGTGTACAGGTTGCATAAAGCCTTGTATGGATTGAAACAAGCTTCAAGAGCTTGGAATAAGAAAATTGATAATTTTTTAAGGAAGAAGAAACTTGTGAAGTGCACAACTAAACATGGAGTATATGTAAGAAGAAGAAAGAATAAATTGCTTATACTATGTCTCTATGTCGATGACTTGTTAATAACAAATAGCTGCAAGAAAGAGATGAAATACTTCAAAGGTGATCTCATCATGGAATTCGAAATGTCAAATCTGAGTGACATTTCATATTTCCTTGGCATTGAATTCTACAAGAGTAGCATAAGTTTAATGATGCATCAAAGAAGATATGCATGATAAATTCTCAAGAGATTTGAGATGGAAGAGTGCAACTCGACTTTGACACCTGCAGAACCAAGGTTGCAATTGTCGAAAGACTCAGACGAAGATGATGTCGACCCAACCCAATACAGAAAATTTATTGGGTCATTAAGATACATTTGTCACACAAGACCTGACTTAGCATACAATGTATGTATGGTAAGTAGATTCATGCAGAAGCCAAAGATAACGCACCTAACAGTGACGAAGAGGATAGGTATCTGAAAGAAACTCTTGATTATGACATTTTATTTCCTACATTTGATAAATGAAAAAAATGCAAATTATTACGGTACGCTTATTCAAGTTGGTGTAGTGATGCTGAGGATCAAAAATCCACAACAGGATATGTGTTTATGATAGGTGGTGCACCAGTTGCTTGGAGTTTAAGAAAAGAATCAATAGTGGCATTATCATCGTGCGAAACAGAGTACATAGTTGTTTCTCTTTGTGCATGTCAAGTAACATGGATGGTGAATTTGGTCAAAGAGATAACAGAAAAAAATCATGAAACAATTACCATGAAAATCGACAACATGTAGCAAAGAATTCGATAGCACATAGTCAAAGCAAGCACATCGAAATGAAGTTTCACTATCTTCGAGAGTATGTAGCAGATGAAAAAATGAACTTGAAACACTGCAAAACTGAGAATCAGATTGCAGACATCATATGACAAAGGGTATGCAGGTCAAAGTGTTCAGAAGACTAAGAGTATGATGAATATAGATAACTTAGACACAATGATTTAAGTGGTGTGTTAAAAGTGTAATTCTTGTGTCGAAGTTGTTCGACATAAGGTGTGTCAAAAAGCTTAGTATATCAAATTGTTAGTTGTCAAATTGTTGTAAACATGTTACTACACACAAATTTCGATTTAAATCTAAAATTTTTTTTTTTTTACTTTTATAGTTTTAGACTTTTGACTTAGAGAGAAAACAAGTTCATTATAAATAGAAGAAGTAACACCTATTTTTGAATAGAATAAACTTAAAACTTGTATTCACATAATTTTTAGTTGCAAGTGAATAAAAATTTTCCACAGTTTACGGACAAAGAAAAACTCTGTAAAAACCCTAATCTTTTTTCTTTTTAAATTTTCTTTTCTTTTCATTGTTATTATATAATGATAACAATCTTATTCATCAAGATAGAGATAAATTATCCATAAGAATTGGTGAATTTCCAACAGTTACGAAGTTAACCATTTAAAAAGCAGTATATGAATTCTTATAATAACTTAAATATCACATAACCTTGTTATGTCTTCATCGTGTTACATTCTCGCAAATCCTATTTAATTATCTCTTCAAACTCTGGATCATATGATATAACTACCTTAATTACTGAAATTATCTAGCCGTGACAGACACGTGAATTTGGCTGTTAAGTTGCTAAACTTCGTATTATACTGAGACCAAATAATTTTAATACAAGAAAAATGGTAGAATGTAGAAATTTTCGATTAACTCAAACCAGCAGCCTAAAAAATACCTCAGCTTAGCTACAACCAGAAAGGAGGGGGGAAAAAGACTTAATAGACTATTATGACAACCTTCACAAGAAGGTGAAATTAACTAAGAATGTCCACTTCCACTCGAAGGAAAGAAAGAATGCTGCATCCAATTCACGCACAGAAAATCTACACAAAAATTTGAAAGCAGCAGCTATATTGCTCTCCACAAAAACTCAGATTCGTGATTTACTTGCTATCGTTGCATACCGGTTAGTAACCCATGGGTGGCATCCCAAAAGGAGGCATTTGGGGCATTCCCATTCCACCCACTGGAGGGGGAGGCGCATAGCTTCCTGCAAAACCTGGTCCTCCCATTCCAGGCACTGGTGGTGCAGGCAAAGCAAGAGGCAACAATTGAGCATACATGTTCTGCAACAGAAAACACATTCATATACTACTTTAATGTTCAACTCTTGAGAATGAAGACTGAGATAAAAATAAAGAACTTATCAAAGGGAAATTACTATGAACATTGAAACTGCTAAAACATGATATTGTCAGATATACTCTTGGCACAACAAAAAATAACTTTAGGGCAACAGAAAATAAGAAAGATAATTACCTGTTGTGCAACTACATCCTTTTCTTCTCTCTCTTTAGATTTCACTTCATTTTGTGCGTCAATTCTATCTTTCACTAGTTCGTCAACTTTACCGGTGTACTCACGGATAAACTGCAACAACAAAGAGAAGATGGTGAAAGAGAGAGCTAGATAAAATGCCAATCAATATATCCATTTTGGTCCATTGAAGAATAAATAAATAAATACATTTGTCAATCAAGAATTCTTTGGATATCCCATGCAATACTACAATAACATGAGACCATCCACAACCTTCATTAGCTAAGCATACTAGTGTTAACCTTATTTTAGTTATCACTTTTATCAATGTGAATCTGAAACCCCAACATTCATCTAAAAGCAGTTCAAAGCGCCTGTTATAAGACTGCAAATCTTAAACTGCTGGACTTCACAAAGACAAGCAAACTCACTTTTAAAGAGAAAAGGGGAATAACAGTCAAGAATGGGATGGGCAAAATATCAAATAATTAGTTTCTTAAGGCTGATACGAACAATACAGACAAAACACAAACCTGCAAGAGGTATGGGAAGGCAAAGTCGATCATATTGTGCATCCATGCTAGTTCAAGAACAATGTCTGCCCGTATTAAATCATAGCAAACAAATAGACACGAGGCAAAGCATTCCTTCTTTCCCTGCATAATTATACGAAAAGAAAAATTAGAAAACTCTGTATGCACGCACAATAAATCATGTTATCATCATCACATGAGGACGAAGGAAACAGCTTAGACCCTCAATTGTTGAATTGTAAGGCCCTAATGTGCAATTGCAGAACAAAGTTACTAGGTTTGATGAAAAAAGCAAATACTAATAGGTGCCAACTACTCTACATGATTTAGAATTGCACAAGCCACAAGAGAAACCACCAGTAGGCAATATACATACTGAACATATTAGTCATGTTGAATCAGATCCTTGTTATTTAACATAAATGTGTCCGTCAAGAATAATAGTAAGCTAAGCAAATGGGATATTGCAAAAAAAAAATTGTATATGCATTTTCAAACAGAACTATTTAGTACCTGATCAATGAAATAAACAAGCAACTCCTCGGCCAGTTCACGCTCCCCAGATTGGGAAGCTGTCTCCATGGCATCTTTGTAAAGGTTATCCTTCTTTGACAAAGCAATGGACTGCTTCCATCTTCCTGCCTTCTTGTAAATATAAGCAGCAACCCGTCTCATCTCAACAAGCTCATGCTTTTCAATCTGCGACATACATAATCAGTCTATCAGTTTTCCATAATTTAAACAGAGAGAATTCAATTCACAATTAAGAACAATGCAGATTACCTTTTGTGCAAGACCTATTTGATCAAAGTTATCATGCAAATCAATTGATTCACGCAATCTATCATAATCTTCCTCTTCAACATATATCTCGTTCAGGGCTTCATTAACAGCAGACACATTGTTGCTCTGAACCGCAACCATGTATGGCTTCACAAGACGCAGGTGACCAGCCTATAGCACATTACAAGGCAAATATAGGTGTTATAACAGTCACATCGCAAACTAATATCTAACAAAAATTTGCTATGATTCTACCTTACGCATTATGTCAACAACACGTGTGTGGTCCACGCGAAGTGCAAGGACATTCAGAATATCATTGAGGAGGTCTGGATGTTCTTCCAAATAGAAGTGAACAGCCTTGTAATACAATTCAACATTAGCAACTTTGACAGCAACATCTTTGAATTGCATGTGATCCCATGCTTCAGGTGAATGGTTCATGATGGTAGTTGCGGCATTATCAAACTCATCATATTGGATATACAAAAAGGTCAATTCTTTCCAATGTTGTTGTTCATCACATGCTCTTATGAGTTTTGGGATATTGAGGCGGGTTGAGAATAGTTTGATATGCTCCATAAGCTTCTCAGGGCGGTATCTAGCATAAAGAACTCCCAACTCGGTGAAGATGCCCATATGAGCTCGTTCCAACCCTAAACCGCTCTCCATCAGAGATATTAACTCATTGAAGTAACCTCTATTTTGGTAATATTCACTGACCTCTTCCAAGTCATCCACCTACATAAATAACAAACAGTTTGACACAGTAAGCATTGGAAAGTAAATAAGCTCGCTACTAGTAATAGCAGACCAACAAAAAGTCCAGATAACAAATGCAAAAGCCCTCCAATGATCAATCACTACACATTTACATATTTGCAGCATACTGAGAGACAAAGATTTAAATTATAATATGAAGCATGTTTTATTCAAGCTCTTAAATTGAAATCAGATGGAAACAGGAATCAAGAAAAAGTCTCTTAATTTATTTTTTTAAAATCTTTAGTTCCTATAAATTAACAGATTACCTGAATAATAATGTTGAGTCCACATATCTGGGCCAAGCGAAACTCCTCTGCATCAACACAAGCAAAACAAACTTCCTTCCATGTTTTTGAGCTATTAGCTTTTCTTGCTGCGTCAACAGCACCTTGGAATTGTTGTAACTTGACCAGTGTAACAGCCAACTTGGCCCAGTTAGATATAAAGGCATAAATGATTTTTGCAGCCTCATATAATGCTTCATCATACAACCGGTCCCCAACACTTTGCAAATTAGCAACATTTGGCATCAGAATGAACTCTTCAATGTCACTAAGCCTATCAATCTTTGCATATGCATAAATGAGCTCGCCATCAACCTTTGGTTCTTTTGCCTTCTGTCTTACCATTAACAAGTATTTGACCAAGTCATGGTAAACATTGGCATCTTCAGCAGCACGGATAACATCCAAAAATTGTGTAGTATCATCTGCTCGTATAAATGACTCAATTGCATCGCTTACAAGCCCCTCCCTGAGTTGAGCCTTCGCAACCTGACTCCAAACAGCATCTTCTTCAACTCTGAAAGCAAACTCAACAGCTCTATCAACGCTACGAATATTATCAAGCAACACATTGACTGCTTGAACATTCAAGTTGAACTTCTTGAAAATTGCAAATGCTTCCTCATACAACTGTGCTTCTACAGCCATTTCTCCAACTGCAGGCCCGTCAAAATTATCCAGTCTATTGATATAATCCATAACTCTGGATGAATCAGCTTTTATCGCTGTCAAAATGAGAAGATTCTGTAAATTGAAGTTCCCACTGAATGCAGAATTCTGAAGCACAATCTTCTCAAGAAGTTCAATCAACTCATGGGGCAGATCAGCTGTCATAAAAGCCTTAACAGCTGCAGAAACCTGTTCAGGGCTTGAGCTTTCGGGCAGAGCAGTAGATACAACCTGATCAATAAGTTGCCTTCTATATTCATTATCAGGATCAAGAACTTGAGCCCACAGATCACCATCCATTCTCTCAACAACATATCTGCCACAAGTATAAGCATGTGAGCATTGAACATGAGAAAATTAATTTGACTGAAGAAAGACCTACATATACAATACAAACCTTGCTTGCAGTTTGAACAGGGAATTTTTACTAGTGACATTGATAAGTTCTTCATCACATTGTCCTCGTCGGTAAGCTACAACTGCCAAGGTCGGGTCACGTTTTTCACAATATTTGCCCACAACTCGAGAATCATAGTAAGGGTTGGTTGTGAGAAAATGTTCTGGATTATTGTTGCTATCAATGATAATTTTGCCCAGTGCGTTGTGAACATGGACATCTTGGCTTCCCTCACTCACAAGATGTTCCAAAAACTGTGAGAGCAGACGAAGTCGATTCCTGCATATAAAATAATAATGGATTCAAAAATCATAAATGTGAATGCAAATTAACAAACATTAGATTAAAGGACAAACCCACCTCTTCTCACACTCCTCCACAAGGGGCTCCACTGGCAGCAAGGAACGAACAGAAAGAATCAAACCTTTGATAAAATCTTCTGGGCACTCATCATCTAGTAGCTGCCCAACAACTAAAGGAGCATTCCCTGGGTTCACCTATGCAGAAAAATACAAATGTTGACAGGTGGAAAAAAATAGGGTAGATATTACGCATGAGATAAGCAAGGCTACTTTGATACCTTCTGAACATAACCCTCAATGTAGCGAAGCATGTTGTTTGTGTATAGGTAGTGTGTAAGATCTGGAACAAACCCAAATCGATCACAGACATTGATTAAAGGTCGTGCATCTGGAAGCTTAGCCTCCATTAGGAAGTTCTTTGTTTTTTCAGCATCATAGAAATTGGATTCTCTTGTCACACGCTCGACCTCCTTGATTTGACCAGTCTTTGCTGCTGCCTCAATATACTTGAAATGAATGTCGGGGTCCTCACTATACCATATTATTTAGAGAAGCATGTGATATATCAACATTGGAAAATATATCAGGTATAAACAGGGTCAATTACCAACAGGAAAAAAAGAAACAAACCTGGAGCTCAAATAGGATCCAAGAAAAAAGTACAGCCCTTCATATGACCTAAACTGCTCAAAAATCTTAATGCAGCCATCAACGCCCAATTGTTCAGAATATTCTTTAGCAACCTGAACAGACAAAAGCAATCTTAGTTTTCAATTATCAGTAAGCTCCAAATCAAAAAAGATAATAATTTTTTTATACCTGCACAATAATCTGTAAATTGCCCCTTAGATTGGCTAGTAATAAGTCTTTCATGCACTCTAATGCCCATTCCCGTGAGAGAGTACCAAAAAATTCTACAAGTGACTGCAATAACCAAATAACGAGCAAGTATTAGGCATGTGTGATATAATTCTAAACCATAAAATAGATAAGAGCAATAAGTCAAAAACAAAAAAAAAACCTGAGGCTCAATTGCATGTGTATTAACAATCACACGTTTTATATCTGGTAACTCTGTGTAATGCTGCACCGCAAAAGATGTAATCAACATAAGAACTTAAGTTTTTGAAGTAGGGAAAGTACAAGAATAAAACATTTAGCAAGTCATTACTTGCAAAGCTCGCACGTAAAGGCCAGCTTTTTCACATAGCTGGGCAATACGAGGACGGTCATAATGGCTGAACATGCCATTAGCCAAAATAGCATCAGCAACATTAGGGAAAGTGACCAGATTTATCTCCAAAACCTGAACATCAATCCACAAGAAAATTGTATCACTGCAAAGAAATAATTATTAACAGAGCAAATTGCCACATAACAACTGGGAAATAAAGGCCCCAACCTTTGTCTGAAGGAATCCATGTTCTGGTAAATTAGGTTTTAAAACATCCAGGAGAAAAGCTGTTGCCTCACGAATCAGGTTTCTCTGAGCAGGCCAAAAAATAACCACGACGAAAAAATGTCAATAATGTTGAGAAGCTTAGTGTAATAAATCAACGATGATGAAGCTAAAGCATTAAATGACTATTCGCACAATTGCCTAATTAAAGGAGATAACCAACCTGAAGAAACAGATCAGTTATGGTGTTGTAATCAATTGGGCTACCTCCCTCCATTTGAGACATCATTAATGCAAAATTAACAGCACCCTGAAGAGCAAAATCAAAAAGAAAACTTGTAGAGCCTCTCCTTATAGAAAAAATCACAAGACATTGTAAACTTAAGATACAAATACTGTTCAAAAAGCATAGTTACCGTGCATCCAAAAAGGTAGAGCACAGAATGGGGAAATTACAGAAAATGTTCAGCTAAAATAATTAAACATAAATTGTAGAGCTTTCACTCAAACCTGAGGATCAGTTCGGAGAATTGTTTGCAAGAGGAAGAGGTAGTCAGGTGTGTACCCAACCTATAGCAACAAATAAGAAATGAAAAATATTCAGGACCAAACGTTTCCAGTAGAGCGGAAATGTAATACTCGCAGTGCTAATTATTACAGGCTGAGAAAAAATGTTCAGCATGCTGTAATAGCATTGAAGTTGCTTTTCATCAAAGTCAATATCCTTTAATGAGTCAACAATCACCTGCTTAGAGTAGACCAGAATCTTGTCAAACTCCCTCCTCTCAGCAAAAGCAGCGACAACTTTCGGAGTAGCTCTAGCTTTGATGTATATTTTTAAAGCAAGATCGTTGTCCACAGTCTAAAAGGGAGCATACATGGGAAAATTATTAGAATCTCACCATTTCAAAAAAATCAAATGAGATAAGTAGCTAATTAGAAAGATTAACATAAGGACATAAAACTAATTTGAATTCTTTAAAATGTTTAATCCAACAAAACCTTAACAAGATCTCCTAGCTCCTCGCTGCATTCAAGCTTGTCCTCTGCCAACCAGTTTTCCAACAGATTTTTCTTGTTCTGGTTCACAACCAACCGAGACAATTCTAATGATTCAAAGGCATTCAGCTTTCCCCTCGTTAAAAGTGTTCCAAAATACTGCAGCAGGGGCGGAGTTTGACCAGTTTGCACGGGAACACTCTGCCAAATAGAACAGATAATCACATTTTTAAACACTGCGATTAAAGTTGAGCAGAACTAAAAATGTAGGAAATTGATGGAAAAAGTGAGAAAATTAGAGAGTAGAAGAGAATGTCTTCAACAACAATAACTAAATCTATTTACTTGAGAGATTACAGTGATTGATCAATTTATAGAGGCCTAACTCAGATTAACTGATCTGTACTACTGAAATGAAGCTGGTGTCAGAATTTTTAACTGATCTGTCTAATCAAATGAAGCTGGTGTCAGAATTCTGCTATACAGCTTAACAGAATTACGCATGTGTCCAAAAGTTAAACAGACAAGATAGCTACACTACACTCAAAGCAAATATAATCTAATTGACCAAACAAAAGAACATCACCTATAGGCAAATGATAAACCAAAGATTACTGTATCATTGATTGTTATGCAGAGAGAAAATGAAAAAATTCCTGAAAGAAACCTGAAATTTGGCAACTGTGTCAGGAGTTCGAAGGATTCCTTGTGGAGATTCAGCGGCAAGCTCTGCTGCTTCTTTATACTTTGTTTGGGAAAATAATTCATGAAAACGCTCCACCACCTGTAATGACAACAAGTATTGCCATTATGCTATAAATAGTAAAAGAACAAAACACAACAGTCGCCATTTCTTAAGAAGCTAATACACACAACCAAATTATCAATTCTCAAATAAAACACAGAAAAAAAAACAGATTAAGGCTTGTAGATTGTGTTGGTCAGGTAAATGACAAAAGCAGCACTAAAATTGCAGCATACACCACCAAGGTCTCTCATGCAACCTCCCTCATCTCAAGCATACATCTTTTATAAACATGAAATAAAATATCGAAGATAAAATGGTTGACGGTGCAAACCAAATTACAACAAGTGTTAGTAAGATAAGGAAACGTATGTCAAACACTGTTGAAATAAACTGAACTACAGACAGCCAAAAAGAAACACAAGTAATTACCTATCAAAATACTGCACTTTTTATATAACCAGACTTCATGCAAGTTAGTATTTAGCAGTCATGTGAAACCGCATAAGAATAAACAGACAATACTACAAAGCTATTGGAATCTTCCTGACCAAAACCCACCAATAAAGAAAAATTACTAATACTAAAGTTGAGTTCAACACAAAATTGACATACCAGCTTTTCAGCACCAGGAAGATTTCCTCTTTTGGCAAGACTAACAGCTAGCTCTAAATTGTTTAACTGCAGCGGTAACCAATATGAAATGTGTTAAATGCCAACTCATTCCCTGCTTCACATCATACAAGTGATAAAAAGGTCAGAAACATACTTGACCGCTGACGAAATTCACAATTGTTTGTTCATTAACAGTGGCCAACAAAACTTGGCCTCTCCTATTAATGGCATAAAATCCACCTGCTGATGTGGCTTCTGAAGTCAAAAATATAGGGTCTGGACTAATTCTGTTCCTATATACAGCAGTAGCTGTCTCCAAGTCGTATACAAAAAGTAGGCCAAGTTTGGTAATCACATAAATCAAACTATATTTGTGGGATATCTGAAAAACAAAATCAAAGTAGAAATCAGATATCTACAGATTTCTATAAAATCAACAGCACTAGCAACTTTATGTACCTGCATTGAAACTGGAAAATCATCAGCAAAATCTGGGGGGAAGAAAAGATCTGCTTGTTTCTTTGTAAATGATGGCTTCCCTGCCAACAAAATTGAAAAGATAAAGTTCAGAAGTATGATCAATTTAATCACAGGTGACACAATGATGCACACAGTTCAATTTCACAATACACCTCATACAGTTTCGGCTTTAGGCATAAAAGTGACGACTGTCCAAGCTTTATAAGGACTACTTTGGCCATAATACCTCTAGTCAATGTGGGATCTCAATCACACACCCTCACACTTAGGACAGGACATTTGAAGCGTGGGAAAGTGCGGGTGGAATAACATGGATCATAGCCCAATTACAAATTTAGGATATGCTTTGATATAATCTTCGAATATAATTTTTGAACATACAAGTTGGGTCTAACCCAACCCCAAAAACCCGCTAAAGAAATGGGGATCACCCAAGTTTTTATAAGGACTACTTTGGTTCTATCACTAGTTAATGTGGGATCTCAACAACATAAGCCAATCTTTAAATGCCTGGTTTCGATATATACAGCTTCTTAGATTGACATTCATTACAAAATGGAACTGATATATGTTACATGTAAATATTGACTGCTACATCTACCTCCCACTTTCAGGACTATATATGTTTGTCACTACAATTGAGAACTCAACATGGAGCCATTATAAATAGAAAGAAGGGGGAGGGGGGAATACATCTGTCACATTCAAATTTTCTAATCAATCAAATACATAGTAGTAACAAGCAGAAAAGTGATTCTTGAAGCATAGACTACCAAAAAAATATTATGCATTTAATCGGTCAAATACATCGTAACAATTGGAAAAGAAAACTGAGTAGCATGGTCAAACAACAACAATGCATTTATTTGACTGAAGTCATCAGCAATAAAGAGTAGCTTCCTCAACCCTCCACATAGATCATTATATTTCATCCATCCACATACGAAGTTTGTGAAATTCTTTTATTTCAATTAAATTATAGCAAGACAAGAAGTGCCATTGTAGTCTGTAGAGACATTAAATAAAGGACCATTCTAGTTAATTATATGATCGCTCCACCTCTAGTAATAGATCAAGCATTATAAAAACATATTGATGTAAATAACTATTTTAAATGTTAGATTTACCAGAAAGATTAAATTTTAAACCCCGGATGGGACAACTAGGTTGGCATTGCAATATAGATTAATGTTGAAACCATATTGCCCATAAAATAAAAACATGAAAGATAGATGTGAATGAGGCAAAAATATGCAGACCTGGCTGTGCGCCCAGTTCAATGACATGTAACTTGGATATAACTTGACCAGCATTAAGTGTCTTTGAGGCAAAAGAAATCAAAACAGAAGGATTTTCATTCCCAGGAACCTGTTCAAAAACAATTAAAATTTACCCGACACAAAGTAGTATTCAGTTAGTCGGGTAATATTTATAAATAATAAATAACTAGATGAAGATGAACACAGAATCATAAGAAAACACACTTTGAATTGGGCAAATGATGCAGCATGAGCTTCAAGAGCCTGACTGCGCTGCTGATCCACAGAGAAAAGCTGCATGTTCCCTTTAACCAATTGGGGCCTCTATAAAGCAAAAGAATATGAAGAAACAAACCAAATAGATTAGGCTAGCAAAAATCACGGTTGAAACTTGAAAGATCGAAATTGTTATATAATTAAACATGATATAAGCAATTATGTTCTGAATGGAAAAGTTAGTTGGGGTTGAAAAATCGAAATGTGTTCCGCAACGATAGACAGAGCACAACTATGACAGGAAGCAGAGATGTACCTCGGGGGAACCAGGAGCAATACCAATCAAGACCAGCCATTTTTCTGTTGGGTCACATCGATAATTGATTATCTGATTGTTTGCCAAATTCGCTGTTCTCTCAAATATCTTAACAGGTTCAGAATCACCTACGAGATACAGAATCAAGGACCATATATATCAGTCAAAAATTTACAAAAAGAGCAACATACACACATTAAAAATGTGTAAAGCCAGAAATATAGTAATAATAAAAAATGTTGGAGTATAAGCGGCTTATAACCATCATTATCTTACCTTCAACTGACCAGTGGTATACAGAGGTTTGTGTCACGAGGCCCAACATTTTGGAGCTAATCCACTTCCAGAAGACTACCTATACATGAAAAATAAGAGCACCCCACATAGATTAACATTGCCATTCTTAGGGGCCTATTATGTCAATGCTTATGTATCGTAGCACATTATAATTACCTGCTCGGGCATCTGATGTGATTTCATCTTCGTTTTCAATTCAATATTAAATATTTGTAGGTGATCCTGTGTAGTCCCTTGGAGTAGGGCTTCAAGAAAATTATGTAGCTTGTAAGTGACAATAATCCAAAAGCAAAAAACATTTTAAATACAGCACCAACAAAAGCACGTGGCACAGAAACAAACAGAAGATTGCTAAATATTTGGGAATCGGGAGACTTGTAATTTATAAACGCCATAGGTATCTAACTACTGACTATTTTTTCTTTTAACCATTCCAAATCAGGTCAAGCAATGACAATGTGAAAAATATTTTTTATGGTCTATATACAAGTAAAAAAACTACCTCACCTCACACTCTTAAGAAAAATATTTAACTTCATTTAATTTACTCAAAGCAGTAGAAAGTAGTCGTATTCTCTAAAATATCCATCACGGCCACTTGTTCCGAGAATAATAGAAGAGTTGTTGAAAAATACATTTTAAATTAGTTAAAGGGTACTTTAGGAATGATAGCATTAAATATGATAGAATGTTGAGTTTTGCTTACATTTGAGACAACAAAACAAGACTTTTTTTGTTGCTTAAATTCAAGACCGGGGAGAGTATCTCTGATTACAACATCTAATATACCTAATGTGAAATTGGGGATGATTAATACATTAGCAGAAGTAAAAAAATATGGAGAAAATATATTTATCAAATTAATCGCATTAAGAGGAATAAACTCCATATATCTCCAAGAAAATTGACTATAATGAAGTCATAGGTTAACCCTCAAACAAAATCTTTCAATTACCTACCTAAATACACTCCTCATCTAATCATTGCATCCCCTAAAAAATAGCACACCTAAGTTCTTACTAAGAACGTAGGTCATTACTATAAGCAAAAAAAAAGTGGCATCAAATCTTGGTCACTAGTATAAGCAAATATTTACAACTTCTAAACTATTTTAATAAATTTAACTTGTGTTTTACATGAAATCTAGAAAATTAATAGCAATTAACTAATTTTCTTAATCAATGTTCATTTTTTTAACTTATTATAGTGACAGGAGGAATAAAAACAAACGAGAGTTGATTATTTTTTTCAAAAAAATGTTATTATAGCTCTTAAAGACCGTTGATTATATATGGCCTCTAACTTCTTCATTATATAGAATTTAAAAATAAGGAAGCCAAATGATTTCCATTTCTCAAATTAATCAAACATCACACCTCTATCTCCCTACCAATCAGGGTGCCTATAATAGTTGACCGAGCTAGACACAGTTCAGGTTTGAGGTAGTTAAGGTATCATAAGTATGGGATATAAAAATAATCAGGTGGTCGTAGTCTTGCTCAAGTATACATACTAGTATAGTATACTACAGACTGTTAGACGCACTCATGTGCTTCTTCATGTCAAGTCAAACTAGTCAAAATTTAAGCAGTTCGTTTCATTTCACCTAAAACAGTGGCATCGACAAAATGATACAGCTATAGGAGGAAAAAAACAAGAAGAATTCAAGTATGCTATCATAAGCTTCAAATAAATTCTGATATCTATAATAATGACAAACAAACTTATCAATATCAAAATGCTAGTAGATGAAGAATATACAAGATAATAAATAGTAAAAGCAAATCTATACACAAACAAATTCTACCTTTCAAAGCAAGGATTCTAGAATTCGGATTCATAAGGGCGGAATCAGCAGTAATCGGCCTCCTCAAAGGTTGATTCGGCATGCTCATATCCACGATAACAACGCTATTCTGTGGAGTAGTTTCTCGAACACATATATACTTGTCCGATTCCATAGTCACATGCGTGAAAGTGATGTGTTGCGCATTGATGCCAACACTCGGCAACTGTAATCATAAATCAGATCACACAAATCACATCACTCAATTCATAAAAACAACTTAACTTCTTCACTAGTTCATCGTTAATCAAATAAAAAAAACTCAGATCTGCGTGAATTTCACACTAAACAAAATTAAGCGAACTACAAATGCAAATAATCGATAATTCAGTAATTGATTTAAGAAATTAAGCGTTCGTGTTCTTCGATTCAGAAGTGGAACTGTGAATAGAAATCGAAAGCGGTGGAGGTGGGGGAGAACTTACGGTTAGGACTTCCTTCATGGCGATCGGAGCGTTCGCCGCCATGATGGCTTAGATCGAGGAACTGGAAATCAAAGGTTGATCTGCAAGCAGGTGTTGAATTCGGTTATGGAGAGTGGAAGAGTGAAGAAAAGTAGAGAGAGGTTGACAGGATCCAAATCAGTGCGAGATCTGTGAATTGAAAAGGAGAAGACTTGGACCCTCTAGAGAGAGAGAGTGTTGTTGAAAGTTGAATTGCGGTCTGACACGAATGAGATGGAATGGGGGAGAAAGAAACGGGGTGGAATGAAATTTGATTTTACTATAGAAGAGAACCGTAGATCTCGTTCTTTGGGATCTAAAAAAAATTAGGATAATCTATTTATAAATAAAAAACCATTTAAGATAATAATAATAATAATCAATGTTTTAAAAATCGTAGAAAGAATCGATAAAATATCTGAGTCAATGTGCAATCGATTAAATCGTGATTGAACTGTATATTAAATTTAAAATAAGAAAATAAATAAATATATTATTAAATATCTTAATAAAATTAATTTACATCATAATCTGTAAATTAAAATTCTCAAATAAATATGATACTAATAAACAAGCATGCAAAAGAAGAAGAATGTAATATAAGGTGCAATAACAAATTAGAAAATTAGTTAAAGACTAATATTTATATATTTATCCTAGTTGTTTAACTCAAAACTACAAGTTTTTACCCCATGTCCACAAATAATTGATCTCGAGGATTGATAAAAACATGAAGAGGGCTGATAGATGACATCTACTAGGCTGGAATCAGTGAGGAGTGGGTGGTGTACCTGCAAGACACTCTAACGCTCGAGTAAGAAAAAGTGCAAAGAGATACAAGAAAGACATTAGGGTTTTTAGAACGAATATTAGATATTTGACCCTTACAATTGTGAGGGTTTATATAGTACCACATGTAACACCATATTTCCCCGTCGGTAGTTTATATATAATCAGAGTAATTTAATTACTAAATAAACATCAATCAAATAGGATGTCACATACTTCGTCAATCAAACATGCTCAATTTAGGATGCGCAAGACAAATCGTGTATTCAAAAGTCTTAAACTTTAATGCATTTATTCACAGCGGAAAAACATCAATCAAATAAATAGTCATCTCGATCCTCTAACCGGAGTTATAAATTATTATCCTTCACACATCAGCATTAATCATAAAACAATTCAATTAAAAGAGTAATACATGTTCACTCCTAATCATAACAAAACAAATCACGCGAAACCCTCAAGTGTTACGTATCAGAACAGACACCGACTCAATCTACGCAGATGAAGGAACTCCTCAACTAACCTTCGATCTCTAGCTACTTCGGATCATCTGCATGTTATCCACGTGGATATAACATTCAAACAGAAAGGGTGAGATATCATAATAATATAAGAGAAAACATAATGATAAGCAGGTAAGATTCAAGTACATAATCAGCATGTAACATACATCGTAATATAATACACACTTTCATCAATCTTCGCCCATCGGTTTATCAATCATAATATGATGCAAAGATTGAAACTAATGCAATGTATGTGGTATCAATCAAGGTAGAACCCTCTTTGCAATAATGTCAATTAGGGCAATCAACTTCACTCACCAATACAGGCCTTCACTCGCCAATACAGGTCTTCACTTTATGAATGCTTAAGACACTATCATGCAACAATATACTTCGCATTTATCGTTAATACTCATCACAATATCTCCAATACAGGCCTTTGTCATCTCCTTCGTCGTGTGTCTCGTATCACACCACAAAAACAATCATCGCAATATAACCACAACATAATTCAGGGCATACAAATCAAAACACACTTACGAATCGATAGCAATGTTGATGAAATAATTAACTACTGCATTATAAATCATTTTTATAAAATAGGAAATTATTTTAGCTTTCCAATGGTCTAAATGGTGCATTAAACGGACACCTGGGGCAAAAGTTATGGGTTTTAGAAGTTTTTCAAAAATATGCTCAATAGCAGTGGTAACCGGTTACCCTGTTACGGGAACCGATTACCGCAGGTCAGTAGCCTCGTTGCTTTTCAAAATTCATCACGGTAACCGGTTACCCACTTATAGGAATTGGTTACCGCATGACAGTAGCTAAACCTTGTTTCAACCATTGATATGGTAATCGGTTACCATATTCTGGTAACCGATTATCCGACGATAACAGTGGCAAATTCTACAACTTTCAGGTTACGATATTCCACATTTCCACACCCAAAAATTATAATTTTTACATCAAAATTCATATTTTTAACATGTTAATTATTCATCGACGTTCATCTACCAATTCTAACCAATTCATATCATTCAATCACATCCAAAAACACCAAAATCACCAAAATTCCATCAACGGGAACAAACCCCAAAAACAACCAAATATGGAGAAATTAAAACATACGATTATACAACCTAAATTCTACCATACCCCATCATTATTCAAATCCTTATAGAGTTAGAATTTCCCCTTATCTTAGGTTCTTGGTTGATTCTTGATTCCTACAGATGAACTTCTTGTCCTAACTTCCTAGTGTTTTTTCTCCTCTTCTCTCTTCTACGCTTCTCTTTCTCTGTTTCTACGTACGAACTCTTTTTTCCAATCTCACTTCTTATAATCTAATAATAATAATAACTATCCCAAATAAACAATTATTTAATTATTATTATAAAATAATAATAATTATCCTAATAATATAATAATAGATAATAATTCACATTACTCTACACATCCCTATGTTTCTACACAATTAACCAAACATCTCATATCCTCAATTTCTATAATTTTAAGGCATCTAGTCCCTAACAAGGTATCGCATCATATCATAAATTCCACCAACTCATATAATTTCACTGTGTCGTCTTATTATTTAATTAAAAATAAATTTTAATTAAATTAGGGTGTTACAATTCTCCCACACTTAGAATATTTTCATTCTCGAAAATTACCTGAAGTAAATAACTCTGGATAACCCTCTCGCATCTTGCTCTCTTGCTCCCACGTCGCATTCTCTCTGGTAGCTCCTCCCCATATTACTTTCACAAGGGTGACCTTTTTGCCTCTTAACTTCTTTATTTCGCGATCTTCGATCCTCACAGGTACAATCTCGACGGTCAGATTGTCCCGTACTTGTATATCATCTATCAGAATTACATGTGACAGATCTGAAATATATTTTCAAAGTTGCGACACATGGAACACATCATACAAATTTTACAAGTTAGGTGGCAAGGCCACCCTATAAGCAACACTGTCCACCTTCTCTGAAATCTGATACAGACCAATAAACCAAGAGGTCAACTTCTTTGACTTTAGAGCACGACCTACAACGATTATCGGTGATACTCTCAAGAATACATGGTCTCCCTTTTGAAACTCAAGACCCTTCTTCCTCTTATCATGGTAACTCTTATGCCTACTTTGTGAAGCTTTCGTCCTTTCTTAGATTACCTTTACCTTCTCCGTAGTCTCTCTCTATCTCGGATCCGAGTTGTAACACCCCATTTCTACCCAACAATATATAAAATCAGAGTTACAAAATTTCCAACAAACAAATGGAATGTTACACTTTCAACTTGGAAACAACGACATTCAATCACATATAGCTCAAATACATAACACATAAAATTTGGATGAACCGATAACAACTTGTTCAGTCTTTAAAAATAAAACAACTTTCGTTGCTACGCAGGGGATTCACAAATTCAACTGAAAACACCATAACTTCTTATCCAACTCAAAACGGCTTTAAGACAACAAGTCTTTAATAAAAACAACTTAAAAATTCAGCAACATAATGAAAACCAACAATAAAGAAAATATGCGTTCACCCCCCGGGGTGCTACGTATCTGAGCGACAACACTGACTCGAACTAACGAAGGTAACATCTATCCTTCTTGATTACCTGCACGTTATCAACATAAGGCAACATTCAAACAGAAAGAGTGGGATATCAGACCATATAATTGAGTGTATGATAAATAATTTATTAGATCAAATTATATAAAATCACGACTTCACAATTTTCAACCAACATCAATCGTCACAAGTCAACAACACAACATGTTAAATATGCAACACAAAATGTGACTCGTTACAATGCACATGCATATGGTACCAATGGAGCAAAACTCTCAACTTAGAAATCTGTCAATTAATAGAGGCATCAACAAGGCATAAGCCTTCAACTTAATTTGTCAATCCAGACCAACTTATCGAGCATTAGCTCCAACTTTATATGCTATGTATACGACTCAATATGAATGTCAGGATAGTAACAATAAAATTCCATAACAATACAACAACAAACCAACCTTGACCATAAATCTACAACTTAATATTTTACCCATAAATAGAGGCAATAACATCACATCCTAATTCACATTTTTCAACAAAGAACACAATACAAATAGTCAACCAAAATTTATTACAACTAAACTGCGTAACTATTAAGGCTATTTAGACTATTTTCAGTTAATTAATTATCGGTTAAAAGTTTTATTATTTCTACTTACAAAATTTCTACAATATTATTATACTAATAATACTAAATTATTATTATTATAATAAAAATAAACTTAAAATTTAGTATTGATTTTTCAATGTAGCATACATGTTGCTACTGTACCAGTAACTTGTCATTCTCACTCTAAAAGCATATACTACAATGAAAGAGTAATATACGTATAGCACTTACCTTTGTTTCGTTACGGTATGCCCAACATATAAGTACTAATCATATATCACACTATCACTTTATTAATAAGTCTACCATCAATTCTTGCTACTTATCTTAATTTATTCTAGTGGCATGCTACCGAATTGATTAAACAAATTTTCATACTTATAATAAATCATTATTTAGTAAAGATGTATTATTATTTGGAAACTTCAGCTTACCCTACTGACAACTCTAAACATGTCGGAATTACGCAAAACAAATAAAAATAACTTTTAATGATACGAAATAACTCTATTGATAACTTTAACAACACTATTGA